TCCACCTTCCACACTTTGATAGTGTATTTCTGAAAGATCCATTAAACAGTTGTCTCAGTGTACGCTCAACAACTATCCCGCGGAGATTATTGAAATGGGAAAACGTAGGAGCAAATTCTAAAACTAGTGCTATAGATAAATATAGAGTTGGACGCAAGAGCGCAGTAACGCCGGTATTGATTGGTGCATTCCCGCTAAGTCGCATCCATTTACCAATCGATATGCACCCATGTCACTGTCGCGCAATCAAAAGTATAGCTGGCTTTTAACCTGCGGTGAAGATTTATCTTTCAAGAAGAATGCATCAGAGATTTCAACATCAGAATTTTCAATAATTTTAATGATTATCATAAATATAGTGATATAAATCTGCATTTTGTTGTAAAGTCTTTGATGAATAGTTCATTTACGAAGCGTAGTCTCAGGCGTTTTGTTGGAGCGAAGAATGTTAAGGATTTGAAAAGTAGAGGCTGGATGCCATACTGGGAGGAGCATATATATTTTATCGTCATGGTGCAAAACCCAGATAGGAGGCGAAGAACATCAAATACGTTTTTTTATGTTCTACAGGTGAGTGAACACTGAGCCAACAAGTTTTAATCAAAATTTTCCGTTTTCCGTCTTACTTGTTCAGTATGTTTCTGATTAGACTTCGCGCTAAATCGTGAATTTAATGTGTATAGGATGTGTAAGGGAAATGTATGTTGACCGCAAATGCAGAAGTTTCATAACACCTGCATACCTTGACCGGTTGCGATGTGACGGCCTCTTTGAAGTCAACTACCGACTCATCATTGATATTTGTTCCAACCCGAACCTCGCTTGGTGGCTCTAAGAAAAAAATTCCATAGCTACCGAGTATCAAATTGGTTAAATGTTCACTAACTAGGAGTCATGACGAGCAGTGTTGGAGTCTGGATTCCTTTGTCTGGGCTGTCGACAACTAGGTAGTAGTACGTTCCCGGCTCCATGTCGGGTACGGCCACCCTTGTCAACGTGGCCGAATCCGAAGGCACCACATTCCACTCATCCTTTGGCTTTTCCGGATCATCTGTGTACCGTATGACCCAGTCGTTCTGAAGGTTTTGAAGGTTGAACGAATAAGTCGTTGTTTCATTGAAGCTGTTTATCACTTACAGGTGGTTTGAGATAATCTGGTAGATTGTCGCTAAACACCAACACGACTACACCATTTTCAGATTTTGAAACAACGAAATCGTCTTTCCATTCGGGTCCGAGGCCTGCAAAAAATGTTTTGATGAAACCATCGACCATCTTGAAAAAATAAAGAAGAAGTAGAGTCGAGTTCATTGATCGTTTTAAATGTACTCTCCTCCTCGATGGTAGGGGACAAATGAATACTTTGTAACGTGCTTTTACGAATTTCTCATTTCTTCTTAGCAGAGATTGTTGTAGATTCTGATAAAAACAACGCAACTGCCTTCACTAAGCAGTAAGATCTTTTGAGTAAATTGGAATATGCAGGCTGTTCTTGCAGGTTCAGGATTTCTTAGCGTCATGTTTTGCAGTGAATTTCATAGGGAGGACGATGAGAGACTCAGAGCCGAATGGATGAGAAAAGAGGATAGCCCTTACCAAGCGTACATCTTTCTGCCCTAATCGGGCCTGACTTTGAAACTCTTCTTCAGCCCCACATCCTTATAAAAATCCTATGATGGATATTGATGCGCTGGAGTAAAACTAACAGCATATCGTTAAGGAAAAGTCCTCAATTGCATGTACTTAAAAGGAGGAGTGAGGAGCATTCGTTTTGCTTTTGAAATTTAGCAAAAGTAAACTTTAGAGATGACACCATGCAACATTTCATAAATGGATTCGGCTGAGAACTGACTGGAGGCCAATTTAGAAAACTTCGTTCTGTCACAGAGAAAGAATCTGTATAGGTCAAAAGTATCTTTAATATGATAACTTCGAACAGAGCGAACGAATATACGAATTGAACTGCTGGATAAGATCAGAGAGAACAAATGCTGTAAAACTACATAAGTGTCATCTATCCTTTTGAATACGAGAAAACTGATAGGTAAATGATTAGCTAACATTCCAACAAGCCCCGCGCACAGCGCACTTATCGAGATTTCTGTAGAAGTAAAAATTCCTTTTCTCAAGCATCTAAAAATCATATTTACTGAATGTTATGCGTACATGCATTTCTGTCAAAGGTTGCAGACTTAGCCGATTTATTACTATCTACACTATAGCGATCATTTAATTGAGTTGTAAATCCATTTACTGACATATTTCATGAAGCTTTTCGACTATACCACT